GCCTCCCAAGTAGCTGGGACTACAGGCTTGCAACACTACACCCAGCTTATTTTTGTATTTTTAGTAGAGACAGGATTTCACCATGTTGGTTGGCCAGATTAGTGTTGATCTCTCCACCTCGTGATCCGCCTGCCTCGGCCTCCCAAAGTGCTGGGGTAACAGGTGTGAGCCACTGCACCCGACCCCTTTCTAATTTTTTTTTTTTTTTCAGTAGAGATGAGGTCTTGCCGTGTTGCCCAAGCTGGTCTTGAATTCCTGAACTCAAGCTATCTTCCTGCCTCAGCCTCCCAGAGTCAGTTGGGAATTACAGGCGTGAGTTATCACATCTGGCCCAGAATCCATTATCTTTCAAAGCTAAAATGATCTCTATTATCCCCTCCTCCTCCACGTAATTAAGGCTCTGTGGGCATTTTTGCGGATTATTAGGTAGTAGATAAGAGCTACATACATAAAAAAAAAAAAAAAATTTTTTTTTTTGAGACAGGGTTTTGTTCTGTCACCTGGGCTCAAGCGATCCTCCCACCTGAGACCACGAGCTCACACCACCATGCCTGGTTAATTTTTTAATTTTTTTTAGAGACAAGGTCTCAACATTTGCCCAAGCTGGTCTTGAACTCCTGGGCTCAAGCGATCCTCCTGCCTCAGCCCCTCAAAATGCTGCAATTTTAGGGGTAAGTCACTAAGCCCAGCCTAAAAAAATCTTTTAACGTAAAATAAAATTCCTTTAGAACTAAAGTAGTTTACATGTAAACTACACATCAACTCACTGTACAAAATGTTTTCGCACATAGTTGATCACAATCTATTAAGACTACCCTCTCAGTCCACATGTCCCTTATAGCTGGCAGAATTACTGCAGTTGTACTATTTTCAGCCTTTCTACATACCGAATAACTCACTTTTAACTTAAATTCTGACATAGTTATAAAATCATTAAACAAGTAACTTCAATTTGTGTATCCTGGATCCCAAGTGTATTAAGAGAATGGCAGAAGTAGATAAAGGTTTAGTTATGTATTTAGGTTTAAATAACATGTTTATTTTCTCACAGTTCTAGAAGCTGAAAGTCTTGAGATCTGGATGCCAGCATGGTCTGGTACTGATGAGGGCTCTCTTCCTGGGTCAGTTTTGTTTTAACATCTAAGAGGATTGTCACCACATCTCTGTTAGTGATAATAAAACAGCAGCATTTTCCTCATCCTATTCTTTGCTCTTAAAAGCCATAATCAGCCACAGCTGACTAACTACAGTAACAGTGAAAAATCTTAGTAACATAATCTGCTGCTTATTGGTCCTAACCTATTTTATTACTCCTTTTCTTTATGTATGTTTCAATGGAACAGATGAAGTTTTGGATTAAATTCCAAAAATGTTACGTATCTGATACTAGTATTTCTATTTTAACAGGAAAATGTTTTCCTTCAGAGTGGCTAAGAAACTCCAACAGAAAAGTTCAACATTTTCCCATGATCCTCACTCCTCTGCATTCCTCTTACTCCTGTACCCCCAAGTCAAGGCACCCTACTCTTCACAAAACAGCAGACTATGGTTTCTTTCTACTGGATATCGAGAGTCTTCTTGATGAAAACAAGCATAAGCAAGGATATAGGATCAAAGGGCAGGGTAACAGCAAAAAGGGGAAAATCCCAAAAAGACCAGAGAAAGTGGAAACAGGAGCTTGGTTACATCAGTGGCTACAATTACATTTCTGTTTTTATCCTGTATTACTTCATTTTTCCCTTGCGGTTCCTTTTTTAAAGTAGCTGCATAAACAGTGGCCAGATAAGAATGTTTGAAGTAGAAATTCAGGGGAAAACAAAGCCTACGCTGAATGGGCCACGGACAATCATGTATCATCTGATTACCACGCCCTGACATAAAGAGCATGCAATATAGATGATGTAAATAAAAAGAACATCGGATTCTTAGTCAGAAAACCTGAATTTAAGTCCTAATATGCTGCAGAATTTCTAACAAGTGAACTTTCCTGAGTCCCACTTTTCTAATCTATAAAAAAAATACAACCACCTGCCTACTGCTGTGAAAGCTGAAATGAGAAAAACACTACACATTTGCTGCATATAACTTTTAAAATCACTATAATGTTATGAAGGATAAAATTCAGAAATCTCCTTCTGCAATCACATAAAAAAACCATATTCTGACATCTCTTAACAGTTATACTGACAGGCGCATAATTCAGGTGGATAAATACAAAAGTGGCTTTTAAGCCGCTATCTGAAATAAACATTGTACACTCACCTAATTAAGTTTTACACAGCCCAACCATAGAGTATGATTACTCACATATAAAGCTAGTGCTATTCACCCACTTTCAACAAAATATATGTATCAAACTGCAGTTCCAGCAGGGTGCCAAGTAATCTACATCTCATTTAATGTTCTACGTGTAACCAGTGTAGCTAAAAAAGAGCATGGGTTTGATATCTGAATGACGTAAGTTTGAACACCAGCTAGGGTTATGGTAAGTGGCAGACCTTAGCCAAGTCTGCGCTGAAAATCCCTCAAATGTAAATTAGGAGTAACACGCCTCGCTTCATAGAATTAAGATTATTGTGGCCAGGTGAGGTGGCTCAAGTCTGTAACCACAGTACTTTGGCAGGACAAGGCAGGAGGATCACCTGAGCCCAGGAGTTCCAGATCAAATGATCGGCAAGACCCTGACTCTACAAAAAACCTTTTTTTTTTCTCAAGTGGCCGAGCATGGTGGTGTGTGCCTACAGTACCAGCTACTCAGAAGCTGAGGTGGCAGGATAGCTTGAGCCTAGGAGGTGGAAGCTGCAGTGGGCCATGCTTATACACCTTGTGCTCCAGCTTGGGCGACAAAGGAAGACCCTGTCTTAAAAAAAAAAAAAAAAGATTACTCTGAATGTATCTCTATTGACCCTAATCTGATGCCTAACACACTGTGGTTGCTCAGTATACGGTGGGTGGTTATTTTGACTGCCTTCTCATTTCCACAAAGCAAACACCCTTGTTTTTTAAGGAATATTTAAATTACACGTTGAAACACTATTACCAAAACTTCTTTAGGCCAAGAAGTATAATGAAAGGAATTCCAGAATATCATTTATAGATCCTGAAGTTGTGTTCCTAAAATTAATATAAGCAGAAGATCTAATCCAAAGAGTTTAAAGGTCATCCCTCCTTCATCCCGTCCCTTATTACCTGCTAATATGTACAGTTAGGTGACTTAAAACCCCAACAACTAGAACTCTTGAGGAAGGAGGTAGCTATTTCTAACAGCATCCCTATGAGAAGCATTTGCTGTAAGAGCCAGGCTGTCTGCTGTCCCTTCTCTAAGGACAGGTGAAAGCAGGAAGACAAAAGAGAAAAGAGGTCTCAGCTTAACTTGGAAAGCTAAATTAACTAAGGAAAGCAGATCAAGAAAGATTTGGGACATCATCTTCTTCAAGAATCCAATTTAAGCTTATGTCCAACGATATACTTTGGTCAGTCTTCATAGCCCTATTCCCTCAAACTAATTTCTTTCCTGCCCTGGAGCTCGGGACTTTATGTTCAGATGTGATCCATGACAACGTTCTTTCTTAAAAATATCAACGCAAATCTAGTGAAAGACCAAGGCTGAGATTTCATCAGATCCCCCTTTCCCTTCCAGTTTAATATTATTCAACTGTTCCTTTTTAAGACTACAAGAAATCAAGACTTGTGCCTTCACCCAGCAATGAAGTGGCAATACGTAAATCAGACTTCACATTGTATTTTTCCCCACATTTTCATGTTTGTAACTTTCTCCCTGCCTATGTTCAGCCTTTCGGGCAGCCTGAGAATCACATGTAATGACTGTCAAAGTAAATGATCTGAAGCACACATAAAAAAGAGCCACTGGTTAGAGTCAGCGTGTGTGTACAAACATGCAACTGTGATGCTCTCCCAGGTCAATCTCTCAAAACTCACAAAATCAGACAGAGACTGATGGTGAAGCAGGGTGGCCTGGGAGCAGCTATATACACAGAAAAGATCAAGATCTGAGAAGTAAAATGAAAAAAAGCTGCAAGAGAGTATTAAGGAGGAAAGAGTCTACTGTTTATCATGAGGGAGGAAAGAGCTAGGAATAGACTAGGTAGGAAGTGAAGAATCTGTGGAGGAAAAACCGCAACGGTAAAGAGAAAACAAAAACTCACCAAATTGGGAGGATAAAACGAGCCTCCTGCTCCAATTCCATGTTGTGGTTGTTTTTGTTTGTTTTGTTTTTTTCTTTCCAGGAAGTTACAAAACAGTTTTCAACAGAAGGATTACATTAACAAAGCAAATAAAGGAAACTTATGCTAAAAATGTAGCCTACCTACACTGAGAAGTCTGAAAACGGAAATACTTCTTTCCCCTTTTTGTAAAGGGTTTCAAAACAGTAGGAACAGGGTGAGGGATAAGAGCTATAAGAGGGGGAGGGGAGTAGCCAAGCTCTTCCTGAATATAGACAGTCTTTCGACTAAATGCGTATTTTAAATTTACCTTTTTGTGGTCAGCCGGCAAACTCTTCACTGCACATAGCGTTTGACTCTCAACCAAAATGTGATGAGTGGTTCAGACACCATAGGAAATTTAAGAGCGTATGCAAACACAAGGCAGATGCAGAACCAGGACTTGGTTTGGGTGGTACTCTAACACCCCCTCACTGGGTGGCTAAAACGCCACTAAGGTTTGAATTGTGACCAACAGTGAAATGGAAGAAAGAAAATAGCAAAGTTAAAGAGCCTACGTTTAGCCAGAAAACCATGCAATCAGCCGGAGAAGTTTGTGAACGGGCAGTAAGTGGAAAACAGCGGACACAAAGGGGCTAACTAGATAAACAGCTACTACAAATTCTGTCCGTCTTCCTTACGGGGTGCTACACAACTACACAACGAGTCCCTTCTATACAGAGGAATGCTGCTTCTCAGCCTAGGCGGTTACAGTCGCAGGCAGGGGCTGCCCGCCGAGAAGGGTCTGTCCGGCACAAACCCGCAGCACACACTTACTTTCGTCCGGCCATTGATTTTGTAGCTGCCCAGCTTCCCGTTACAGTGGCGGATCAGGTCGTCCATGCTGCTCATGAGCAGCCCAATGGTTTCGCAGCCGGGCTCCTTGCCCTCGATCCAGGTGATCTTATCGCCTCGGATGTCCTTGGACGAGTCGCTCTTCTGGCTGACCAGCTGCCCGTCCGTGAACTTCCCGGTGTCGTGCAGGGCGCGCACCTCGTCGCCGATCTGCTGTCCGGTCTCCTTGCCGAGGAAGTCGTCCACCACACAGATGCCGTGCTTGTTCATGCACGGCACGATGTACTCGAG